TTGTTCGTCAGCTTGAAGTTGAAGACGATTGCATGGTAGATCTTGAATCCTTCTGGTGTGGTGAACACGATACCACCCCCGTATCCTCTAGGACCGGATGCCCCATCAACTGCCATCTCCCACCATTGCTCAGTGGGCTTGTTGACCGGTAAGTCTGGAGTTAGACCGGTCATTTCTACAAGGAAGTCAGCTAGGGCCTGCCCCTTGATTGCTGATCTTGGCCGGTACTCAATATTGAATTGAGTTAACATCATCACCCACTTTACCATCCTCCCGGAGGATGTTGAATTTCGCAACACTGCACCCAACGGTTGGTCAGTCAAGACTTCTACCGGGTGAGCTTGGAAGTAGGATGTCAACTTTTTTGCAGAGATGAAAAGCGCATATGCTGTCTTTTCCATCTCCGTATATCTACTCTCAGCCCCGTTTAGTGCCTTGCTCACATAATAAATGGGCTTTTGTGCCCCATCATCTCTTATTAAAACGGAGCTTACAGCGTTTAGGGAAATTCCCAGGTACAGATACAGAGTTTCACCCGGTTCGGGTTTAGACAATACAATATCCGATGCTAGGTACTCTTTCAGCTACTCGAATGCCCTCCGGCATTCTTCGCCCCAAGCGAATGTGTTGGCCTTCTTCAGAACTTTGAAGAAGGGCAGGGATCTCTCAGCTGACCGGGAAAGGAACCGGCTGAGGGCCGCTAAACGACCGGTCAACTTTTGAACATCCCTAACGGAGGTAGGGGCTTGCATTTCAGTGATGGCCCGGATTTTCTCTGGGTTTGGCTCTATCCCTCTCTTGGTCACCATGAATCCCAAGAACTTCCCGGTACGAACCGCGAAGACACATTTCTTAGGATTCAGCCGGAGGTTGTACCTTGCCATGATATCGAACGTGGCTCGCATATCAGCCGGGTGGTTCAGAGATACCTGGCTTTTGATCAGCATGTCGTCGACGTACGCCTCCATGGTCTTTCCCAGTAGTGGTTTGAAGAGCTTGTTCACCATGCGCTGGTAGGTTGCCCCCGAGTTCTTCAAGCCAAACGCCATTACCCGGTAGCAGTAGGTTCCTTCAGGTGTGAGGAATGATGTCTTCTCTTCATCTTCCTTAGCCATGTAGATTTGGTGGTAACCCTTGAAGGCATCCATGAAACTTAGGAGTTCGCATCCCGCAGTTTCGTCCACCATTTGATCTGGACTGGGGAGTGGGTATGAATCCATCGGACAAGCCTTGTTCAAGTCCGTATAATCCACACACATTCTCCACGTGTCGCCCTTGGGAGCAAGGACAACGTTGGCCAGCCAATCCGGGTACTTGACTTCCCGGATGTGACCAACACTGAGGAGATCTTTCACTTCCTTCTTGACGAAGTCTCGCCGGTCACTGGCCAGGTACCGCTTCTTTTGGCGTACCGGTCGACTTCCCTCCCTCACGGCCAACCAGTGGCAGATAACAGAGCGATCTATCCCGGGAATATCCGCCACGCTCCATGCGAATATGCCCGCGTATTCTTGGAGGACCCGTGTAATCTGTTCCTCGAGATCCTCAGGGAGATTTGCTCCAATTCTGACCATACTCGAAGAATCACCCGGGTGAAGTTCGATTTCCACCGTCTCAGCCTCGGGTTCCAGTTTCTCTCGGGTCTCTCCCTTTGTGATCTCTTGGGAGATGACATTGACCCCCCTGGTCATTTTCTTGACTGCCCGGGCATAGCATTCCCGGGCGTTCCTCTGGTCGCCCTTCACCTCACCGACACCACCTGGAGTGTGGAACTTCATGCATAGATGAGGCATGGAAATCACCGCCCCGACTTTATTGATGCCTGGCCTTCCAACCTGAGTTTTTGGAAGGTCTCCAGGTATAAGATGTTGACACTGCTGCCGGTGTCAACAAGTACCCGGGCGACGTCTACCCCATTAATGTCCATGGTGATGACCAATGGATCATTGTGATCTTCACCGGCAGGAGGGAGATCCCGGTCAGTGAAGACGATTGGCTCCCTCCTAGTATGTTTACGCCTGGGCGGTTCAGCACTTACTTCTCCCACGTAAATGCTCCGGACCCAGTTCTTCCGCTGCGCGGCTGAAT